TCAAAATTAAAATTAATAATTCATCAACAGAAATATTCTAAAGAATAAACATGGGAATAGACCCATGTTTATGTGCCCTTATGACAAAGTTGGTGTTATGTTCTGTGGGTTAGGATATGCTTTCTGTTTAACAAGTATTTTCCTTGACTATTTGGATACAGAAAGGTAGACGTTTTCAGTCTCAGGGCTGAGGTGCCTGTAGATTATTTTAAGGGCCCATATGATCAAGCCTCTGAATGGATTAGGAGTTCACCAATTTTTAAGGCAGAGGCTGGTCTCAGGTCGGAGGAATAAGCCATGTGTGATGCAAATGTTAAACCAAGACTTGGAAAACCTTTTCCAATTCTGAGATTCTGGAATCTCAGGTGAAACTCTGCCTTGAGTTATATGAGTATTTTCATAAAGATCATACATAATTTTAACTTTTTTTTTAGAAATATAACTAAAACTTTTTTATAGTTAACTATACTTTATAATGCATCACCAATCCAGAAAAATTATGTACTTATATGCATTTCATCCAAATTACTTATAATTGTATAGGTGATGTGTGTGTGTGTATGTGTGTTTGTGGGTATGATTGTATGTTTTATAAAAGGGCTCAGCCTACAAAATTTTAGAATTGGAAAAAACCCCACTAAATCTCTTCCATTAGAAGTGCTGTATCTTTATATGTGGAAATCAAGACTTACAGAGATTGATTTGTTTAAAGTTAAATAAATGGGTCAATAATGGAACAGTTGGGCTTGGGATTTAGATTTCTAGACACACACTGGGTGCAACTACTGTTACTTAACCTCAGATGCTTCAAAATTTGATGGTTATTCAAATTTGACACTGTGGAAATGGGATAACCTGCTTGATCTGGACATCTCTGAATATAAAGGCACAGTTGATGTCTGTTCAGAGGTATGGAAGATTTGTGTAACCCAACAAAGACACATATACATTATACTTATTGGTCTATTTTTAGAAACACTTCAGGACACTTAGGATTTCCCAGAATTTAGAAAATAAGTTGTCAAGCAATTTTGCTTTTCTTTTCTTTCTTTAATGAGACAGGGTCCCACTGTATAACCCAGGCTGGTTCTGAACCCACAAACCTCCTGCCTCAGTCTCCTGAGTGGTGGAATACATGCATGTGCCACCACTCCTGGCCTGTTAAGCATTGTCTGGAGTTTTTTAGTGTTCTGGAATATTATTAGAAAATTTGCTTTTGTCAATAGAATTTATAGATACTCCTTAAATGCACTTATGATTACATTAACCTGGTCAACTGAGGCTTTAATAAAGTAATTGTAGGGCCAGATACTACCAAGAGGGTTTAGTTGCTTCCTGGTTATAATGAAAATATTAATTATAACATTTAATATTACTTTAGGAAGAAAATGTTTTTTAGGATCATATCCATTGTTAATTGTGATAAAACTTGCTGTTTTCTGGTTGCCAAGTAAGAGTAATGATTTCTAATTTTTTTTCTCCATTCAGACTTTTGATAAAATTCTTATTGCTAATAGAGGAGAAATTGCATGTAGGGTAAGTAGAATTTGAATCTTACTGCCAGTTTTACTCTATGAAATTTATTATTATTAAATCTCTTTAGGTATGAAATGGTGTTAACAGATAATGTTAATATATTTTAAATAGATTATTAAAACTTGCAAGAAGATGGGGATTAAGACGGTTGCCATCCACAGTGATGTTGATGCTAGTTCTGTAAGTATGTTTTTATTTAGTCTAAATAAAGACTCAATTTTGGGTCAGACAGAACAAAAATGAAATATTTATTTTTTACTTGGCCTGCAAAAGGCATATTCAATTTTTTAAACTATTTAATTGTTCACTTTTTATTAAGCTAAACAAAAGTATCAGCATGTCTCTATAAGTGTCTTAAGTATTTTTTTTTTCAAAGCTTTAAAAACTTTAGAGTAAACTAAAACATTGCCAGATTGGTTGTTGGTGAGCAAGTAGATTTAAGCAAAGCATGAGAAAATTGAATTCAAAGATTAATGAAATGTTTACACAATGCTCCCTTATGAGAGCTCTTTTCCCCAGCATAACTGCACTATCACTAAGGGAATGCTATAATTGTTTAACCTTTCCTAAATACATTAATGTGTTAAGCTGAAAGTTTGATAAATGAGAGATAGGCTGATGCTAATTGGACATGAACAAAAGAAGGTATAGCATAAAGCAGTGAATGATAAATAATTTTATTTGGCATTTTTAACACAGCAGGTTTTTTTTTTTTTAGCAAAAATGAACTATGATTGAGTAGAAAAAATCCCTTGGGAAAAGAATGTAAATTATTGGAACCTTATGGAATGAAATATAAGTAGTTGTACTCTAAGTTACTGTTTTTTCATTCTTTCACACTACTTTTGATAGCTGGACATACTGGTAATATCAGCTTTTATGGAATAATAACTTAATATAAAGAGTTTTCAATTTGTGATCTTCAAATTTTGTTTTATTTAGAATTATGTCATTTTTCTGTTATTGTAACTTCCTTTTAAAAATAACAAAATGTAAACAGTTGCAAGCTAATTTTCTGTAAATGTGAAGTATACAATTTATTTGACAAGTGCATTTAAAATATTAGTCTTTTACCAAAAAGCAGTTAAATTTGTTTTGGTATGTACTATTTAATTTTTTTAAACATTGATTCTGGCGTCTTTGATAAAATTTAACTATGATGGTTTTAGTACTAATTTATATTCTTCACAGGGTACTTTTGATTGGTGAACCAAAGCATTTATCAACTTCAAATTCCTCTAGTGAAAAGTTTTTTAAAAGTCACCATGAATCTAATAATAGACTTAAAATTCATGCGTCTCATATATATATATATATTCTCATTTTCATTGTATTAGCTCATAAAATATTTTTACCCATGAATAAATTGAGAGGGAAAAAATCTGAATTGTGGACAATCATTATTTTTATGTGAAGTCTAATAATAATCTTTCACTTATTTTTTTTTCCATATTTGTAAACTTTTTTTCCCCATATTAAAGTATAGCTCCCTAAGCTGTGTTCTCTTGGAGGTGACTCTTGGTATGGATAGTCAAAAGTCATTTATATTTCTGGTTTTTTTCCCCTGTGTACTTATATATTAGTATTGGTATTATAGAGTAATCCATTTATATAAGGTGTTGCCCTGAATAGTTCGGGTAACTTATCTATTTTTATATGTCTAGCTTTGTAGTCTGTGTTAGGGATAGTCACTTTCTAGATTGCAAAAACTAGTTTCAAAAGAATTACTGTAAGTTTCACATCTTTCTCATTCATACCTTTCCCAAAGCAGATTTGGTAAGTTTATTTTTTAAAGACTTTTAGCCATTTCAGACTGAAAGTTATAGTGAATGTATTAGAGATTATAATGTATAATTTAGAATATGATTAGCCAGGTCTCATAATGGAAGCATTTCATTCTTAGTCAGAACTCAATAGTAGGGCCAAAGTGATGATAGGTATCTGATTTCTGCTTCAGTAACAAGACTTAAAAAATGAATTTCCCTAATAGCATTTTTTGCTTCCTCAACACATGATCACAGAGATTTTTAGGTTATCTAAAGCAGCTTTATAATATCAATATGAAGAAATCATGCTATTCAGATGTATTATTATTGTCTGAATGTTTGTCTTTAAGAGGTGAACATTTTAAATGTAGTTTGAAGTTAAAAAAAAAAACCCTTGCATGCTTTATGTTAATTCTGTGAGTTGAAATGTAAATATTATTATAATTGGAAAATACTGTAATAATTGACTGTGACAGTTATTTATGTTAAAAACAAGTAAATTTTAGTTAATCAGGGAAAATGTTTAACAGTTACTACACAGTAAGTCATACAAACAAGGAAAGCCAGTGGTAAACAATTGAAGTTTAAGGGAAAAGAGTTGGCCGGTAAAGATGATGATGTAGCTCTGTTCTGTCAGTCCCCTTCCCTCAGTATATTCTTCAGAACAGTTGTTAGCATTCTTGGCTCTTCTCTTCTATATGAATTTTAGGATGAACTTGGAAAATTAGCTGTGTACCTCCATCCAACTCCCCCAACTTTTAGTTATTATGAACAAACCTTCCATAAACTTACTATACAAGTCTTTTTGTGAGCATACATTTTCATTTCTCTGGGTAAATACCTAGGAGGGAATTTCTGAGTCATTTTGTAGTTGTGGGGTTGGCACCTTTTTCTGTTTAGATAGTGAATATATTTCTGTCTGGAGTGTAAATATATTTTAGACTTTGCAGGCATTCATGTTGTCTGCTGCTGCTGCTGCTGCTGCTGCTGCTCCTGCTGCTCTTGCCCTTCCTCCTCCTCCTCCTCTTCTTGTTTCTCCACCATCTTCTCAACCCTTTAAAAATGTAAAAACTACTGTTAGCTTGAGGGCTGTACAAAATAGTCCTTGGATCAACTGTGGCCTGATTTGGGTGGGCATTATTATTCTGGACTTTGAAATAAATAAATGCATACCTAACTTTCTAACAAACTCTGTAACAGTTTTGTAGTACCCCATTATACTCCCAGCAAAGTGTTTGAAAGTTTAGGTTGCTGTGTTGTGTGCTTGTCAGCACTTGGTAGTATAGCTTCTTTTGATTTTTGCTATTTTAGTGCCTGTGAAGTGTTATGTCATTGTGATTTGTTTAGATTTTCTTGATGAATATTGATTTTGGATACCTTTTCATATTTTTTTGCCATTCATTTATATCCATTTTGAAGTGTTTATTCAAGTGTTTTTTTGTGAAAAAAATTAGAAGAGTAGTACAATAAATACCAGTATACCTTTCACCAGGATTAATAAGTCATTAACATTTTGGCATGTTTGCTTTTTATATCGGTATCATATATATATATTTATAATATATAAATATACATATTTATATTATAAAAAAATATATAACACACATCAATATCATGTCTTTTTTCCTTCCTTTGCTTTTATAAGTTGAAAATAAGTTATAGATATTGTGACATTTCACCCCTAAATACTTCAGTATTGATCTCCCAGGAATAAAGGTGTTTCCTACTTACCTATAATATCTTATAAAACCTAAGGAAATATATACGTATCATATTCAAGTTTCCACAATCGCCCCTAAATAACTCTTACATTATTTTTCTTTTATCAAAGTTCACGAATTGTATCTGGCTATTAGGGTTTACTCTCTTAATCTGAAATGATGTTCTTCTCTCTCCTTTTTAAATTGGATTTTCATCCTCTTGATGTTTTGAGGACTCCAGCATAGTTGTCTTATACATATTCTGGATTATCTGATGATTTCCTCATGAATAGATTTGGGTTAAGTACTTTTTGACTAGGATTCTCCTTACTTCTTCGTGTATCATATCAAGAGGTTCCTATGTTGGGTGTTGGATTGGGTGTGCTAAGTTTTTTTTTCTCTTTCTTTGGTACCAGGAATCGAACTCAGGGCCTTGAGCTTGCTATGCAGTGGCTGCACTGCTGAGCAATGTCTCTGGCCCTGGTTATGCTAGGTTTGATCATTTGGTTTTATCAGATTTTTTCATGATAATGGTGTATTTTTCCTTTTTATTTAGTCATTTCTAAGGTGAATCTTTGAGTCTTACATTTTTGTATTAATGAAAATTGCCTGACTTGATGATTACTTTGGTTGCATTTATCTTCTTTGCTGTCAGTTGAGAAATCTGTTTTCAGCTCCATTTTGAATCTGCCTGTATGTTTTATGTATTTTCTTAAGTATTTTGAATTCTTTCACCTTGTACTCATTTTTAGTATACTTTTTCTTTGAAATTTTTAAAAAATTTTTTGGTACTGAGAATCGAACTTGGGACCTTGCGCTTTTAAGGCAGGTGGCAGAGCCACTGAACTAAATCCTCGGCCCTTAGTATACTTATTTAAAGACTCTAGTACTGTATATCTTTATCTTAGTTTGAGTTCCTAGGTGTCTGGTTCTACTCTTGACTTTTCTGCATGATGGATTGTTTCTTTGTATTTTTAGATTTTGACTAGTGACCTTCTATTTGATATTTCTTGTTGAGTTTCAAGATGGTTAGGTTGCAAAAATGGCTTGATTGCATGAGTGTTGTATTTGCTCTCTCAGGGTTTCCAGGGTATGGCTGATCTGGGACTTAACTTTTATATTTCTTGGTATCCATTGTTTGGTTTTGGTATCAGAGTGATCCTGGCCTCATAAAGTACCTGAATTATGAGGATAATGAGAAGAGCAAAATGAAAATACACATACAGACACCCACTTACCCTTACCTGTTGAATGTACCTGTGGTTTCTGATCTCCAGAGGAGACTTTATTCTTACTTTGGACCACAGAGATACTGGTAAAAATTACTTGTCTTTTCACTGTGTAGTAGGTTGATTCCTTGGGTCCTGTCCTTCACTGAGAATAATGTGATGCCCTTACTTCAAATATCCTGGCCTTGTATAGGAAGTTTTCCTTTAAATTTTCAGCTCACACAGGGTCTGACTCCTTTCTCAGAGTTGGAACTCAGTTCTCTAGGTAATTGAGATTCTCACTCTCCAAGATTAACTGGTATCTGCTCTTGTGGTTGGAATCTGGTTTTTAGCTTTCTCTTTGTTTTCTATCCCTGGACATTGTAGTTTCTTGTCAGCCAAGCTATACATTTAAAGGATGTTTCTTATATTTAGGATTTTAGGTGTTTCTGGGGAGGATTGACAGGTAGTCTAGTTGGCTTATTGTTGAAATATCTTAGAATAGT